AGGCGGGTGGGAGGGGGACACGGCGGTGCTTGGGGGCTGCTCCGTGTCCCCAGTAGCGGCGGCTGGGCTATCGGCCCCCAGGATGCTGGGGCTTTGCCCACCCTGGCTGCAGGGCCGGGTGGTGGGCACAGAACAGGTTGGCTTTGTCCTCCCCAGGGCGTGCTGGCTGACTTCGCCCCCCCGACGCCGCCCCTGGTACCCACGCTGGTGGTGCAGTGTGTGACTGAGGTGGAGAAGCGAGGTTTGACGGAGGTAGGGTCCGGGGTGGTGGGGGTGGCGATGCTGTGGTCCCCGTGGGACTGAGCCCCTCTCCCTGCATCCCAGACAGGGCTGTACCGGGTGCCGGGCGCGGAGCAGCTGGTGCGGGAGTGGAAGCGGAGACTGCTGCGGGCTGGAGGTGCGCTGCCCGCCCTCGGCAGCGTGGCTGACATCCACGTGGTGTGTGGGGTGCTCAAGGACTTTCTGCGGGGGCTCAAGGAGCCGTTGGTCACCTTCAGCCTCCACCCTGCCTTCCTGCGGGCTGCCGGTGAGCAGGGGTCCCGAGGTAGGGGGGAGGAAGGGGAAGGGACTGTTTCTCCCCTAACACCGCTCCCTGGTGCCACCATAGACATCCCCGACGATGCTGCCTGCGGCACAGCCCTGCGCCACGTGGTGAGCAAGCTGCCCCCGGCCAACAGGGACACCCTGGCCTTCCTCATGCTGCACCTCCTTAGGTGAGGGGCTCATCCCAGCACGGATGGGTCTGTCCCCACGTCCCAGCTCTCTGACCTCCGCCCAGGCTCCGTGCCCCACAGCGGGGAAGCCGGGCTGAGGATGAGGGTCCCCTCGGTGGGGGCAGCCTGCTCACACCGTCCCGTCGCCCCTTGCAGAGTGTCACACAGCCCTGACTGCAAGATGGATATCCTCAACCTGTCCCGTGTGTTTGGTCCCACACTGGTGGGACACAGCACGGCCAACCCCACACCGCTCGCCATCATGGAGGACACGCCACGGCAGTGCAAGGTGAGGGATCCCCCGAGGTGTGGGCTGTGCCCAGGGCAGTGCCAGCATCCCCATCCTCCATCCCTCTCTGCCCAGGTGGTGGCTCGGCTCCTCTCTCTGCCACCCGACTTCTGGAGAGGCTTCTTGGGGACAGAGCAGGAGAACCTGGTGCCAACAGCAGCCCCAGCAGGTGAACATGGTGAGGCACAGGAGACCCGGTCCCCTCCCTGCCCTTGCCCAGTGGCTGCTGGAAGGTCCTGGGTGCCTGTGGCTGGGTTGGGGTGCAATAGCCATCCCCTACTCCGTCCTGCAGAGCCGTTCTTCCGCCCCCTTATCTCCCCGGAGCCCAAGCCAGGCCAGCTGAGCCCAGCCGGTGGCTGCTGTCT